TTTCTAAACCAAATCAAATAAATACATTTATCTCTTTCAAAAATCACTTCTGTTGCAGGGATGACCGCTTCTTGGGCAAATGCTTGCACGCAAGTTGCTGTGTTGACCCCGGTTAAAATGCAAACATTCAAACATTAGCTAGCTGCTGCAAGCGTCAACACAGGAGTAAACAGTGTCATAGCAATACCTCTCTCACTTTGCAAAACTTTCCACTAATAACAATAACTGTTTCGGGGCAGTGGTAAACTGTTCGTTCTAGTTTCCATGTGCTTTCCAGGACTGGCAAATTTGCACAGCTGTGATTTGGGCGAAAGCACCCGGCCACAGTCCGCTTGTCATTGATATTCAGACCAAAAGCACAATTTCAAATGTGAAATTGCTTTTATACAACAGGCCAATTAAAAAGAGGTTAACATTGCATTGTAAGTTGATGTATTCTCTGAGAGTATAAACCATGACAATCACCCATGCTAGAGGAGTGCTATATACTTAGAAGACATACTCCACCCAAAAATGCAAATTCTGTCATCACTGCATGCCAGAGTTGGAAATTAAAGGGGACTGGGGCAAAAGTGCCCACCAATTTCAAGAAAAATGCACCTGCACAATTAAATTAAATCTATTATGACTATTGCGAATAAAGTAAAATATGAAATAGAATGAAAAGTGCCGAATGCAACATTGCATTTAGATCTGTTAAAGTTGCATCAAAGATTTCTTTTTGCGCGTTTTTGTCGAGCATTATAACCAATCAACCATGTACCTGTTGAGTGCATGAATGCAATAGCCAATCAGAGGCATTTAGATTAGTCACCAGGGATGAAGAAATCCAGTTTTCCAGAGCACTAACTTTGGCACTTGCGAATTCTCTCATCATAAACAAAAAAAAGTTTTACGATATATGTGATAGTTTCATTGCGCAGTGTAGACAGCTCCTTCGGTTAAAGCAGGAGATTCTGTAAATGTGCAGAACTGAAATCAGAAGTCACTGACCGCTTCAGAAATAGGGAACGTTCTAAAAAAAATAATAGGCCCTAGTAATCATCCATTAAGGGGCAAATATTGCCCCTTAATGGATGATTACTAGGGCTGCACGATAAATCGAAATGGAATTGAGATCGTGATTCGA